CTTTGGTCCAGGCTTTTGTCCAGCTCCAAAGTAGCATTCCTGCAATGAGTGGGATGCTTCCATCTGCAGCCTCAGTGAGTGCTCTTACACTTTACTTATTGAATCTGAGGTACAACAAATTTCCTTTGGAACTGGCACATTTCAGACTAAATCTGTGCTGTGTGATGCTTTCACTGCTGTCTGGCCTCAGGGACAAGCCATTTTACTTTTCCCAGAGTATTACTGACCCCCTGTTATTAGATTTTACCCTTGGCAGACATTCTGGTCCTTGCCTTATTGCTTTTTGAGTTGCACTGTGTTCATGTATTCCCAGGTGACTGTTCAAATACACTTGGTATAAAATGCTCTGCAGTTCATCTAAGATTTTTTGCTGCAAGCTCCAAAGGATAGACTTTAACTTGGATTTTGTTAGGTTGTATGGTTCTGTATAAACAAATATCCTTGAGAGAAGGAATTGTATCAAATTATTATTAATTTTTGAGCTTTTTGGAGTAGAAATATGCATTTGCATATGAGCATTGTCTGTGTTCACACAGGTCTGATGGACATGGAAGCTATGTTGGAATATGCAATAAGTAGTCAAACTCGGTTCCTTTATCAGACTCAGGGTTGCAATGGTGAGAGAGCCACAAACTCTCACTCTTTTAACACAATGATTCATGCATCACTGGGCTTTTAACTGTGTAGCTAACAACTCTGTATTCCTTCCATACCCCAGAATTAATTGGAATACAAACTGGCAAAAGACTCTGTGCAGAATGTCAATGTTTTGTATTTTTTTTTTTAAGTAGGAAATTAAATTATCTTTTAGTCTATGATATTGATTTGTATGTATATGTGTATATATATAGGCATACACACAGAGAGATGTGTATTAGCATGTCTCTGAATTATGCTGTCATTTATACAGCATAACATTTATAGATAAGTCGTATTAGATAAGATCAATATGATGGTGTAGGTCACTCCCTTCAAGACATTCAAAGCTACCAGATATAACATTAGTAGCTGTGGTGTGAAAACCCTACGTCATTTTAGATGGAAATCTTTTGAATACATACATTTCTAACAATTTGAATTTTGGTCACCAGAATTTAAGAAAATATACAGAATTGTTAGAGACCATCCAAAGGAGGGCAACAAAGATGTTGAAGGGCATTGAGGGGAAGCCCTATGAGGAGCAGCTGAGGTGACTTGGTCTGTTCAGCCTGGAGAAGAGACTGGGGAGACCTCAATGCAGACAGCAACGTCCTTGTGAGGGGAAGAGGAGGGGCAGGCACTGATCTCTTCCCTCTAGTGACCAGTGGCAGGACCCAAAGGAATGGCCTGAAGCTGTGTCAGGGGAGGTTGAGGCTGAATATTAGGAAAAGGTTCTTCCCCCAGAGGGTGGCTGGGCACTGGAACTGGCTCCTCAGGGAAGTGGTCACAGCCCCAAGCATGAGACAGTTCAAGAAGCATTTGGACAATGCTCTCAGGCACATGGTGTGACTTGGGGATATCCTGTGCAGGGCCAAGAGCTGGGCTGGATTACCCATGTGTGTCCCTTTCAACTCAGCATCTCCCGTGATTCTATGAATGTCTTTCTTTTACAAAAACTACTGCTTTCATTATCTCAGACAACACTTTTGAAACACTTTTGTTTTGAAAAGGTATGTTGATAACAAGTCTTGTGCTCAAGGTTAAAATCCTTTACTGTGGTGTATGCCACACAAAGAGGAGTGGTAGAATCTAGGATGCATTATGCTTTCCTTGATTCTTGTCAATGTAATTGCATCTTCAATATCTTCAATTTTATCTCTTCTCTCAGAGAAAAAGGTCTCTACTAGTGACAGAGAAATAGTGAGGAATTTCTGAAAATTAATACTGTAAAATGAGGTTCACTTTTAAGTAGAGCACAACACAGCCTGTAATGCCTTAATTTGATGGAATTTTCAAAAATGCTATTTACAACTGAGATGTATAGATTTATCATCAACTCTGCCAATTAAAATAGAATTTTAATAGACTCTAATAGACTCTAATTAATATTAGTATAGTATTAAAATATAATAATGGATAGATAGAAAATACAAGAATAAAATAACATAGATATACATAATGTCACATGGAATTTCAATTATTTTTACAATGGTTTTATAAAGTTCAAAATGTACATATACCTGAGAAAACACAGACAAATGAAATATCAACACAGAAATATCACCCAAGTTGTTGGTGTGCTTTCATGTTCTCGTTGCCTGGACAGCAGCAGAGTAAGGGCTCAGGGGCAACATCTGGTTCACCCAGCCTAACAAGATATTTGGTGTCAGCTGAGCCCTGCTAACCACCTACTTGTGGGTGGCAAATGCAAGCTGGTATGGTTTATATTACCTGTCCTTAAGTGTGGTCTCAGCCAAGACAGATTTCATTGCATCATCTCCAGGCTCAGTGCGCTTCCCTGGCCAGCTCTGCCTGCAGGAGATGGCTGAGCTGCAGTAACCTGTTTGTGTCCATGAAGGGATCAGCAGGCATCATCAAGCAAATCTTGCAATGATCCTGTAAGCCATAAACAGCCCAAATTAGCTGTCTTCTCCCATGACAGTGCTGCAGCAGGGCTGCAAATTAATGAAAGGTCCACACTACCCCACCCCAGTGCCTTTGGATGGCAAGGAGGCTGAAGCAATAGCTCCAAATAGGTGGAGCAAGGCAGGGCATTTCAGGAGCATTTTAGCAGAGGGTGCCTATAAAAGCCAGCTCACTATGAAGTTAGGAGATCTGGCTTCAGCTTTCACTCAGCAAGATGCTTCAGTCCATACTTCCCTTTAGCTCAGCAAGTCATCCCTCCGACTGCAATGATCCCTCCTCCATGCTCACCTCCATCTGAATACCTCACTGAGCATCTCACTGGTGGCCCTACTGCCAGCCCAGGGTGACCTTGATTGAGCCTGTGAGGAGCTCATTGTACCAGGGTGCTGCAAGGGCCAAGAATTTAGAATTCAGAGAAGAATTGGAGATTTAAACAAGTAACACGATTATCCAGAGCTATTATAGCTAATTCCAACCAAAACTTTGGAAGAGAGAGAAAGCCTCATGCTTCTGGGTATAGGCCAGCCTCTAACTACACTTACAGCCTCTTACTACACTAAGAGCCTAAGACCTCCAGTTACCAAATACCTGCTTTCAGGGACCTTCCACACACTGTTCTCTGAGCAATGGTCATCATCAAAGAGGGATGAAACATCAGATGTAATTTAAACATTATCCAAAACACCAATTTCGTTATTTCCGAAATTGCTAAATGCCCTCAGCCTGTTCTTTGTTTAAGCTCTAAAAGGGGAAATCTTCAACTTTGGAGGGTAATGGTGAGTGCATAGAAGCACTCAAGTATTGGATCCTCTCAGGAAACAGAGGTGCTGTAAAGGTAAGAACTGACATAGCACACTGCCAGTAATAACAGTGATGAGCTTGAATCATGCAAATATACTAACTGATCAAACTGGTTTGCCTATCAAGTTGTTGTCCATACCTAAAAAGATGAAGCTCTTTAAGATTTCTCTCCAAACAGGACACAAATGACAGCTTGTTTTTGGAAAGACAATTTATCTTATTGAAAAGAAAAAATCTTCTTATTAAAAAAGGTTCAAGGAAAATAAGACATTTTTCCTCTAAAGTTACCTATTTCCACTTTGTGTGTTTATGTATATATACACACACAAACACAAACTTAAAATTTGAGTTTAAAGACCGATTATAAAAGATTGCATAATACGAATGTTCTGGATTCTTTGTCTACTAAAATCCAGCTTTTTGGATAGATGACAAAATTCTAATGCCATTTCAGTCCACACTTGGATAAGAACTCTATCAAATAATACTGCAATAAGTAAAAAATATGTTTTCATTTTCAAGAACATCAAAAAATATAAAAAAAATATTCACTGATAAGTTGCACACAATATTAAAATTCTATGGGTTTGCTATCAAAGCTGCTAAAAGGATTAAACACCTCTAGGTAATGGGTAGAGGTTTCCAGCTAAGCTGCCTACGTAAAATTCACTGTGCTCTTCATTCAAAATAAAGGGACAGTCATGTTAGGGGAATTATTTACTCAGATGGGTTCAGTTTGCAAGTTTGGCATCCCTTGTTTTGGAAAACAGATGCCTGTTGAGACACTGGCATTCATATGCTTGAATGCTGTTACGCTTTCATAACTTCTGATTATTGGAGTCATGAGATAAACCTGGATTTTTTTGCATTTTAGAGTCCAGATGTATGAAAAAAGAAAGGACAAGCTTCATGTTGCGTTCAGATGGAAGCATGATTATAGGTATAGAGAGACAATTACAATTATGGTAACAAAATTTTAAAATATTTATCTGCTGTAAATTAATTTGTACAGCCCTCCTAGTATGGACACAAGTAGAGCTGCTGTATATTGCTATAACTGGTGATGTAACTGCATTCATACTAACTTACACAGATTAGAACCAAATTTCATCCAAATCTGAAGTCACACTGGTTTCACTTTTGCACTTTAGTGCAAAAATTAAACCTCTGAAGGGAGTTTTCAGGGGTTTTTTGCAGTGACTGACATCTTAAAGACATCCAGAAACAAGCATATATTATCACCAAGGCAGTGATTCAAAATTTACTGTGTGTAAAACTAGTGCACAACAGAAACACTGTCCTTTCAGCAAGGAGCCAAACAGAGTACAGAACTGTTGCATGAATTTTCCTGCAAAGCTTTTAGCAGCCAGACTAATCCCAGACACACCTCGTGCTGACCTTTACACACATACGCACAAAACTTTCTGGGAGATTTCCTTCCCCCAGTTCGTCCTTACTTCATCTCCCAGCAGGGCTGCCTGCTGGACCTGGTGATCCTGCTTCCGTAGGAAGGGAGAGAGCCTCCACCTACCTTGCTCTCCTTCCTTCCCTGCCCAGTCCCTCACCCCCTCTCTTCCCCTCAGGCTGGCAGGATTCCTGGGGCAGAGCATGCAATCAGTTTGCAGGGAGCAGCCGCAGCCAGAGGAAAGATGCAGAAGCACAGCCAGAAGGAGCACCTCTACAAGCTGCTGGTGATCGGGGACCTGGGAGTGGGCAAAACCAGCATCATCAAGCGCTATGTCCACCAGAACTTCTCCCCCCACTACCGGGCCACCATCGGGGTGGACTTTGCTTTGAAGGTGCTGAACTGGGATGCTGAGACTGTGGTACGGCTGCAGCTCTGGGATATTGCGGGTGAGTACAGAGGAGAACCCTTTGCCCCATAATCTATCAAAGAACAATACAAAATACGGACCCCAACTCATTTGTACTGATCTGAAAGCTGAGAACTGCCACTGCCTATGCAGTGAGGGAGAGCAGATTGAGGAGAGAAAACTTTAAGGGCAGCTTGACATTTTGGAGATTCCCTAAAATCAGCAGACTCCCAAACTAGGGAAGCCAGAGAGTCCAAGTGAAACCTGTGCTAGCTGATTTTTCTCCCATGCCCTTGGACATATTAAGGGACTCAGGCACCTCTCTCCAAATGCCCCAGTTGTTTTCCCTGAAGCTGACAATGTTCAGTTTTGCTTCCTTGAACTAACAGATATCTATGACAGGAGGAAGAATAACAAGAATGTCCTGTTAAATCTTTTTAATTTGGTGGAATAGATGAGGGATTGAGTAAAATGATTAAAATTACCTTTATCGTTAAAAAAATAAAGAGAATGTATATGAGTTAGTTTATCAAAATACCTTTCTTCTTCCTCTCTCTCATACCTGCCCTCCTTCAGTCCAATGAAAGCAACTTCTTACGTGTTTTGGAAAGAGAAATGTTTCTATTTGGCAATCATTATGGTTGTTAAAAATATAATTACTCATATTTAAATACCCTTATTCCAACATCAAGCAAAACAAAAGACTATTTTCCCTCTGCAAGGAGATAAACAGTAAAGTCCAGATATCCCCACATGGTTACATCATTAAAACGCACAGAATTTGACCTTGTTGCTGTCAGTGCTTCAGACATTTTTGATTTGGCTTCAAATAAAGCAGGCAACTTTTTTTTGCCAGCACCTTTCTGAAAAATCAATCATTTTTGTTTCAGTGCAAAAAATAAGTTTATCTTGATGGCATATAACCCATGCTGTAAGTAATAATTTTTCATTTCGTGAATGCAAGAATCAAATACAACTGCAACAATAGATTACAGCATAAAGGAAGGCATTTAAAAATTCAATTAAATTAAGAAATTACTTTCATTAAATCGGGAATAGAGGTGAACATCATATCAGCTGTTAGGCAACTGTACCAGCCTGTGGCCTGAGTTGTGAGCCCACTCAGGCTCATTGATCTAGTCTGGAACAGCACCGGGTAAAACTGGTGAAATGAAAAAATTCTTGACATTCTTATTGGTGGAGGGAGTGCTTTTCTGCTGCACTGAGCTGTCTCATGTCTGAGCTCTGAATTTGGCACTGAGGTACTAAAACTTATGCAACAACACTGCTTTATGTAAAACGGATAAACTCCGCTTTTTCACACGCCAATTCAGTCTTTTGGTTTTATGGTTTTGAATACATATATGCTCAGTTTTCTTTATTAAAAGATAGAAAAATGTAGCAAACATTTATTTTACAGTTACAAGTGGCTTATTGTAACAACAAACACGTACACTGCCAGAAAAACATTTCTGCATGAGAAAAAAGCATTTAATAGTAAATTCTGACTGTATCAAAGACTTAAAGAATGTATTTTGCATGCCTTGTTTCAGAGATTTATTACACTACTAATCATGTGCTGGCAGATCATATGATGTAGCTTTCAGTCAGGCTGAAAAGCAATTACACCTAGTTGTAGTACTGAATGACTAGCATGCTTTCTGAGTTATCACACATGACAGAGAGAATTACAGCACAGTACTAAATTTCATATGAATTGCCCAATTCAAAGCATCATTGTGAAGGTCAAGATAGTGGTTGGTAATAAAAAGAGTTGCTGTCTTAGCTTTAATGACTTCTGCTTAAGGAGCTTTAGCTGCTGCTTGCTGACCAAGCTCTGTAAGCAACATGCTGAATTTTGATGATCATGGTGCAGGCATAAAAGTTATCACACATAAGGCATCTGGCTGGTGGCAGAAAAAGAGGTTCAAAAATGAAAGAGAAGTAAAACTGATTGGAAATATGGAGAGAATGGAATTGGTTTCTCCTGGCTGTGGCTGGTCATGTAAAATCATTTGCAAAATACAAATGGGCAATGAGAAGAGGGAGAAAAATAAAATCTCTGGTCTAAAAACATCCTTTCTCTTTTGATTGACTCTGTTATCAAGTCAAGCTTTTCTTTTGGGTTAAGGAAATAAACTTTCAATCCCTGACCAGGCTAAAGGATGTTGGCTTAGCATGTAGAACACCTTGAATTGAAGCAAATTCTGCAAATACATTGATAATATTTCATATCAGGAATGATATATGAATACATATTTATATCATATTTATATATATACATATCAGGTATTTTTTTAGCTCTTATATCCTCTCCCCTCTCCATTATACAGGCAGTGAACCCAGTACCAAACATATGCACCTCCTTGCTTTTCATGGGTAGTAAATGGTTTAAAAATCTAGAAATAATTTTCTTTAAAATATTGTCATTAAAACTAGTGTCAAGCTTATCTACTTTATTAGTAGGATTTATGTACGTTGTGACTTCATTTGAGGAGTGACACATTCCAGCTGTGATAGGACCAAGTAGTTTGGCCTGGTTTACCCTTACCATACACAAGAAAAAAAGTAAATATGGTTTATCTGGTGCCATCTAATTAAAAGTAGTTAATGTTTGTGTAAGATATCTTTCTGTGTTTTTTACTTTTGTAAACAAAACTATAATATGATCTAACAGCTAAATGCTGAAGCTGCGTTTATTTAGATAAGAGAGAAATGCCAAAAAACAAGGATAACTAAGTATTACAAAAATTAATTCAGGGATAATGTAGGCTCTGCATTACACGTTGTTTCTTTAAGACAGTGGTTTTAACACATACTGTATTCCTGAAACTGTGAGTGTTAGGCAGGAATAGTAAGATTAACCGTAATGCTATGTGATGTTATGGTGTTTGTGACAACATGCTGTCATTAAAATCTATGAACTTATGTCTGATTCAGTGAAATGCCTAAGTTTGAGGTGACTGAATGTTTAGTATTGAGTGTGGGAGGAGATATACCTGATAAAATTCGCCTTTCTTTAATTTCTTCACAACAATTCCATTTTGTTTCACAAATTATTAGTTTTGGTGTTCCTGTTAAAGTATGCCATCATCTCTACTGCTGTGTCATACAACATTAAATCTTGCCCCTCAGTCAATTTCTGTCTTTATTTCTTTATCTTTTCTACTGTCTTTGTGTTTATGTCCTTTAAATTCATTAAAAAATTCTTAGAAGGAAAGCTTTAAAGAAACTCTGAACCATATTGCACAAGGTTACAGTGGATGGGGTAGTCAGGCACAGTTGTTCTGAAGAAAACAGCTGTTGCAGAGAGCAGATCTGGGTGTATTTGCTATTCCCTTCTCTGCAAGGCTTCTCTCTGTGCTACTGTCTGTGTTTTGTGCCCGAACAGCCCAGAGATTTCTCTGAAGACCCGCTTTAGCCATAGATTTACTGCAGGGAGGAGCTTCGTACATCAGAGAGCAGCACATCAGAGCCTGCTCCCTGCTCCTTTTCCACAGCCATCTCAGCTTCCTCTTTATCACTCCTTCTGCATTTGAGTGAGCTGGGTTATTCATTGCTACCAAAAAGATATTGGTTTGTGTTTAAAAGTCTGGTTCTCATCTCATAAACAGTTGGACCAATGCTTTGGGGAAAGAACAGTTCCATTTCCTTTCCAGGTCACTTTCACCTTCAGAAGCAGCAGTCTACCCACAGATATAGACGAGTATCTCTGCACTTGTAAAGTTTTTAGGATTATTATGCTGCAGAGGGAGCAAGTGGAAACCTGTTAACTAATGCCAGGCACAGCACGTCCTCAGCATTTTAGGCTTTCGGCAGCTGCTAAGCATTGCAGCACATATGCATAAATAAGATAGTCATGGTGATTTCTAGGTTAAGTTACCTTGAAATTACTGTTCTGCAAACATAAATAAGTCTCTTGCTGTGAGGATTTTATTTCAGTAGAGATTGGTGCTGGAATCTGTGGGCCAGATCCTGCTGACAGCCTGCTTTTCCTCCTTCTGGGGTGGTGAACATCAGCTCAAGGGCTGCTTAAGCTTCAATCCATAAAGACAATTATTTGAATTCAAGTGTGAATACTCTAAAAGATATTTTGAAGGGAAAGGTAAAAGATGTTTAAATCTTCTCCACAGTTTCCGGCTTTTCAGTGTTGGCTAAAGGCTGTCGGTAAAGCCAGGTAGTTCCCAAAAGCATTGTCTCTTAGAACAGTGGCAAGAAGTAGAATGCATCATAAAACTCAGCATTGGGCATTAAACTCAGCATTAAAAATTCAATCAATTTTTAATTTAAATTTTTTTTGCCACATTTCAGATGCTGTGGTCAAAATTGTGGAAATTATCTTCATCCATTTATCATTACTTTTTATACCTTCATTAGAGATGATAGTGGTTAGTGAAAATTTTAGATTACTGTACACATTTATTTGGGGTAAATTTTTATAAGCTATGAAAGTTCAGCTGATGGTTGCTTTAAACCCATGAACTGATAGCTTTGCCGGCTGCAGAGGTGCCACTGAGATTAGGATAAATGTGCAGGCAGCTGCCCTTCAGACAGGGAGTGCTTCCCTTTAGTAGAAATCTTGCTGCTTTATCACCTTGGTCTCACCGGGTTTTGCTTCCAAGTAGAATAGGATTCATCTGAATTAACAATTAGACATTTTTTCCCAGTCTCGGACTACAAAGGGATCCTAACCTTCAGTACTCCCAGTTAATTTTCTAATCTAATTTAGGGCTGATAATCCCAAGATAAAGCCCCACCTCAGTGGGCAAAGGCCATTGGAATTGCAGGGTTTGATGCCAAATGCCAGTGGTCTTGTAAGTGATGCAGTAAAGTACTAGGGACCACATCAAATATTTCCCAAGCTTCTGACCCTTCCAGTGAAAAGCAAAACCAATCTTCCTTCCCTAGTTGGTCTTGCAGTAAAGCAGATTCTAACGTTCAAGGCTGCCAGAGAGATATCACTGAATACCTAATGGTTGATCTATTTTCTAGCCTTATTCCTGCCTAAGACATTGTGTTGCTGAAAACCTAAGGCCAGATTTTGACATCTTTAATACATCAAGCAGTGTCTATTATTACAAGCAATTCTGCTAAACTAAAAGGTTTTAAGAACCTCATGTATTAATATAGGATTTTGTTCACATAAGCGAGAATCTGTAGAAAAAAAGAGTACTTCTGCATCCTTAGACATATTATTTAGTTCTCCAAGCTCAATGCAAATACTCGAGATCACTTTTTCCACAATTTAAATTAAATAGAAGTCATTATGCAAAGGTCATTAAACTAAAACTCTGATTTATAAAACACCTCTTTTTCCATTCAAACTGGCCTAATGCCTTTCTGTTGAGTGTGTTGATACATTAATTGTAACTGATGGAGAAAAAGACCACTTCAAAACAGTTCAGACAGTTAATCATGCAGCTCCATTCTTTCTCTTTCTTTGAAGTGGTTGGTGATGGAAATTGGTTATCCCTTTCTTCCTGCAAAATGCTGCTTTTACAAACACACTGGCTGTTCTGTGCAGTAAAATTCCTGTGTATCTGAAAAAGCAGCTGGAAGCCAGAGGAAGAATCAGTATCATACAATTTGTCAGAAATTTGTGGGCCACTACTAAGCAGAAGATCACAACTGAGGAGCCTTTTTTTCCTTTAGTAACTTCCTTCATGGTGGATGATTTTATTCTGCAAACGAATAGTTTAGTTAATGTTCTGTTACACCATGTCCCACCTACCCCAGCAATCTGTGTCCTAATAAATAAGTGTGAGGCCTGAGTTGAGCTGCTCTCATATCACCTACAGTGTGTCTCACAAACTTTGAATGAGAAGTATAAAGTACCAGTGAAATACAATATCCGTCAAAAACTATTTGTATATGTTGCTGCTTACCTCACTGCCATGTTTCTAATTAAACCTTGGCTTTTGGTGGAAGGCACCTTCTTGCAGATGAAAAAAGAATTTCTCAACAAGGAGATTATTGAATAGCACATGACTTAGCCATTCATCTGATTAGCCCACTGATAGGAATCATAAGACATTTGAATAAAAATATAGACAAAAGAAATTTTGAATATGACCTCTTTTTTCCCAGAAATAATCTATTTCTATCTTGCTTTATCAATAGGACACAGTGTTTCTTTAAGATAAAAAATTTTGACATGAATTTAGAGAAGACAGGCTTCTTCTTTGGTTTCTGAATCATGTGAATGACTGTCTCCTTGCTGCCACAGTGCTTAAAACCAAAGACAAACATCACAAACTGATGGTGTTGACCCCCTAAGTGGGTTCAGTGCTATTTCCATTAAATGAAAGTGCATGGTCTAGAAGCTAAACAATTGGTACCTTTCCCTTCTCAGCCCTCCCTTACATTTGACAGCAAAATTTACATCAGACAAATTCTCCACAAATAACCTTCCTGGGGTCAGAGGCAGACTGCCAATCTTCTTGTCTTCCTAACCTACTCAAAATTGCTCACATTGAGAAAATAAGGGTAGAAACAGGTTTGCATTCAATGCTTCTATTTCTATAGCATTTTTCCCCAGCTATGGAAGCATGTACAAGAGTTGTCTTGCTTAAAAACTCCTATTGTTGTGAAATGTTTCAGGAGCTTATAAATCTTTAGATCACAGCTATGCTGCAGACATTAGTAGAAAATCTATTTTTTATTTTCAAGAAAAGTTCTGTGTAATTTATTTTTCCAGAGTTCCTATGAAAACAGCAGATATATTAACAAATCCACAGCTGATCAACATAGCACATCCTGATGTCATGTATTAATTTGTTCATAGATTGAATCATATAAAATGAAAGATATTTACAAATGTCCATGTTTGAATATACTAATGTACTTTAGCTCCCAAAAACTCTGTCCTTTCCCAGAAAGCACTTTGAATTCAGCAAATAAAACCATGAAGCTTCTGGACAGAACTGGTATGAAATCCTTCTTCATGGATCTTTTCAGTGGAGCAATGCAGCTCTTCATATTGCTACTGCAATATGATATTTCTTAGAGCACTTTCCACGTTTTTTTGGCTTTAAATTCAACTTCCTCACCTCTGTGCTTTAGTTTGTCAATAAAAATAAATTTGAAATTACACTTATACCTGGTATGGCTCCAGAGCTATATTATAGTACTGCTGGATATTATCATTTGCATGAGAATATGCAGGATCCTCTTCATCCTTGAGCAGTTCAGTTGTGTTAGATGTTTTAGACAAAATACCATAGTACCAAGGAGTTTCCAATCTGGTGCCTATATTTTTTTGTGTCTCTTGTTGAAAGTCCTATAATGTACCCAAAGACTCTTGGCACTGTCCACAGACTGAGAAATCTGGTAGTCTAATAAGACCATACATTTATTATTCACTTATCACACTTACAATTCACTTATAATGAACTTCATTAAATTTCCTAGGGTGTTGGCTTGAAAATTCCTTTTTCATGCAATACTCTCCTGCATTTTCATACAAATTATTCTAGCATGGTATTTAAAATTATTTAGGCAAAGAGAAGTTTCCCAGAGACTTTTAAAATGAAGTCCTGCCTTCAGTAATGTTATCTTAGAAAACCTGCTATGTGAAATACTGACCTAGACTGTAAGCGCTGATTTTTTTTGTTTTTCCCTTCTACCTTCTTCATTACAGGACAGGAAAGATTTGGAAACATGACCAGGGTGTATTACAGAGAGGCTATGGGAGCATTTATTGTCTTTGATGTTACAAGACCTGCGACGTTTGAAGCAGTGACAAAATGGAAAGAGGATTTGGACTCTAAGTTGGTTCTTCCAAATGGCAAACCTGTGCCAGCAGTCCTATTAGCAAACAAATGTGACCAGGGAATAGATGTTCTTATGAACAACGGCATCAAGATGGATCAGTTCTGCAAAGAGAATGGGTTCGTGGGCTGGTTTGAAACATCAGCCAAGGTAATGTTTCTGTTTCTTTTCAAATGTTTCTAAGGGCAGAGAAATCAGTTTTTAAAATAGATCATTTGCTCTAAACGTGCACCTTGAAAAGCTCCTTTCTTGGTGTATTAAGTAAAGATAGATTTGTAAATATATAGTATGCAATTCTATTTGTTTTAGGTATTTTATTGCAACATTCTGAAATGCAGCTGCTGTGCTGTGATAGGCCAGCAGTAAAGTATGTACCCGGTCAACAGGTTACTGCTCAATAGCCTGGGGAGGAGGATGACCTTAGGCAAGGCATAAAACTACCTCTTGCGAGTGATATGAAGGCGTTTTTCATCATTCTTAACATTGAATATTATCTCTAAATATTTATATAACCACTTTGCTTGAGAAATGTTGATTTGAGACAATAGCTTCATTGCCTTAGATTCCAGAAATAAAGTAAGTCTATTGTGTTGCTTGTACAATGTTCACTGTTATAAGCTCTCATTCTCAAAAGTCTTTTCAAAAAAATCACATATCTGGGGAGGAAGGAAATATCAGTGGTCAAAAGGCTGAATGAGCTACTCTGAGGTTCAATTCTTTGCCTTGGTATAGATTTCCTGAGTGCATGGAATATTAAGATAAAAATCAGAAAGGGCACTGAGACTTTCAAATTTCAAAGGCCAAAAGTACATTGGTACTGTAGATCAATTTGAGATGTCGCGGATAATTTCAGTTCGTGCAGGATTTGGAAGCTGGCATGTGAAATATTGATTTGAACACAACAATTCAGTGGATATTGTGTTGATTGTATCCTATTATGAAAGCTGGTGTCATCATTAACAGCTCTGGGGAACTTTTGGATGTTTGAAATGTAAACAGATTGGTTCTGGTTAAACCTAGATTTCTAGTAGGCTGGAAGCCAAAATGCTGCATTTGATTGTTTAATTCCTTTTAAAAAGTTTATGTAAGGTACTTAAGAACTTTTAGGTTGTATATTTGTATTTTACTTTTCTGGTCTTGAAACCTTCTTTAAGCATTAATATTTAAAAGATGTTTCACTAGTAATCAGCAGAAGTAACAGGAGGGGAATAGCAGCATATCCCAGACTGCCTCAAGAATTGCATGAACTCTGGGCTGAGATTGCAGCTTTTCAGTACTTAAGGGGGCTTATAACAAAGATGGGGAAAAACCTGTCAACAGAGCCTGTTGTCATAGGACAAGGGGTAGTGGTTTTAAACTAAAAGAAGGTAGATTTATACTAGAGATAAGAAATCTTTTTTTCTGACAAAGGATGGTGAAACACTGGAACAAGTCGCCCAGATGTGGTGGATGCTCCATCCCTGGAAACATTAAAGGCTAGATTGGATTTGACTCTGAGCAACCCAATCTAGCTGAGGATGTCCCTGCCCTGGCAGGAGGGTTAGACAAGATGATTTGAAGAGGTCCCTTCCAACCCAAACCATTCTAAGATTTTATGATTCTATGTCTTTGTAATTAATGCCTTTGCTTCTCTACTGAATGAGTCTCAAATCCAGCCACTGTTTCGTAAGATGCCATTCACAGAGAGAAATTTGGATCTAAGTAAGTGTGTAAACTCTCTTGCTCCACAACAGGGTACTTCCTATTCCTTCATGTGCTGCACCTGGTTTGTATTTAGGTCTGTGGTTCGTCTGCTGATTTGTGTTGGGCGGGGCCAAGAGAATCCAGTGATCCTCCTTATGATAAACTAAATTTTACTATGAGGATGGTAAACTAAATTTTACTATGAGGATGGTAAACATGGCACATGTCCACCACTCAAAAAGGACAACCGCATTTATTGTGCTAAGACTCGTTGCAGATCATGACAGAAAATGAATATGCAAACAATTTCAAAGATCACAGAGAGGTTTTAAAATGATGATGGAGCCAGTCTGGGGCAGAACTATGGAAGTATAAAAGATGTATAGAGAACATAACTTTTTTTTAAAGTCATACCAGAGGAATTTTTCCCAAGTTTCTCTAAGCTGCACAGAATTAAGAATTTCTCTTATTTTAGATATGGTAAATATCTAGATTCTTCTTACATTATTTAACTCCAAAAGCCAAGCAGTCCCCAGATTGACAATGCAATCATGTAGGAACAGAAAAAAAATCCAGCTATGACAAGACTTGCTTTCAAAAGCCACTCTGAAGGGAATGATGAGAGTAGAGGGCACACAGCTGCTACCAGACTGTTCTCTGCTGTTATACACCAGAGGCTAGGACCTGTTGGTCTGCAATCCACACACCTGGTTTCCACCCAGAATTGGAGGGTTCTGATTTTAAAATTATGCAGAGAGTCATTCCAGTAAAGATGGTAGAATCAAAACATTTAAAATAAGTTAGATCAAAATAATTTCCCCACTTCATCTAAACCTTGCACTTCCTTTTCTAAAACAAAGTTAATATTACTACTATTTTAGAATTCTGGATATTGTACATACCTGGTATTCTTTCAGGGCACCATAAGTAATTGAACTTGGGTCTGATAAAAAAAAAAAAAAATTACTAACTCTGTTTGCTACAGAGAATAGGAAATCTTTTGAAGCAGAATAGCATGGACAAAGGAGTGCTCATATTGCAGCTATCAGTTTTAGCAGTTCAAATAAGTAATAACTCTCTTTTTGTGGTACCCTGGAATAATTAGATCTCCAGAGTTTTTCTGGAGATGTGCTTGGAAATGTTAAAGCCTTGAGAACAAACTGAATATGATTTATGCATTTTGGAAAAACAAAGGTGATTACTTATAGAAAGAACATCTTTTTGTTCTGGTTGCCTTGCAGAAAGTAGCATGCTATATATGTACCTACCATATTTCAAGCTGTCAATGGCTTTAAGCTTTTGTCTGTTCACTGGAAGATTACACAAAAAAAAAATTCTCTGTATTATTCCCTGGTGCTATTTTTGTAAGCTAACCTCTCCAATATAAAATATTTGAGCCACCTAATGCAGGCTTATGTGTTAGTTTTGATTCTTACATTGATCTGAAGGAAATAACCTTCTTTCAGTCTTCTCCCTACAAAGAGAGAAGATTTTGTTTGGATAGTTTTCCATGTGAGAAGGGCCTTATTGTGCAACACCACCTCACAGTGTAATCACAAGTTACACTGGTTTTGCCATGTAGCCGGTGGTGAGCCTGGTCTCTTTTATATCTGCATATTTACTTCACCCATAGTGATTGCAGTATAAGAGGCACATCCCCAGATAGTCACCAAATAACCCTTAATAGTTAATTATTTAATAAATTTCATGACCACAACTATTGTGAAAGAACCATTCTTTTAAAAGAAGGAAATTTCTTCTTCCTGTCACATATTAAATTATCCAGCACGTGGCCAGAGCAGCTGAGAGCTCCACTCACATTTCCAAGCCTTTAAACTGTTTTCACCACCATGCCTAGTTCAAAGAGGTGAGCTTTTGACTTGGATTAGAAAAGGAGCAATTTCAAGCTTATTATCACTTTATAATAAAACTGGAACTTGTGCAACAAAACAGACAAGTCAGGCAAAACTAAATGTGCTTGAAAGTACCTAATTCAGAAAAAACTTAAATACCTCACAACTGGCCACGGCTGTGTTGTTATTATGCCCGAGTTCCTCCTTTCCCTGCTGTAATTCTACTGTCAGCAATATAGAATCAGATGAAAAGACATTCATGTTTTGTCCAAATTGCCCAGAAAGGCTGGTAGCTGTGCTTTTCAGATCCTTACAAAACTAGGTTAAATGCACAGCTCCTTGTCTCCTGAGCATCATGACCTGGACACTGAAGAGCAGTCTGAGTCTCTGGGCTATTTGGATACATCCTATTTGGACCAGGACAGTGTTATAGTTCTTCCTCTAAGAAATGTGGGTAATAAGATGTCCTTTATTCAGCTTTTGTTTGACAGGCAGTCCATGGTGTGCTAACATAGATTCAGAATGAGTTGTGTTGGAAGAGACCTTAAAAATAATCTAGTTCCAACCCCTTACAGGACCCAAATGCTGGGCTAGCAATCAAAAGTCCTCTTTGCCATTGCTGTGTTGCCTTCAGAAAGTCATTCTCTCATCTGTTCCAGCCTTTTTTTCAAAAAACAAAGACATGAATTCTTCCTATCTTACCAGGGAATTCTATGAATAATACAAGCTCTACTAGCCCTTGTTTAAATCACAGATTCTTCAGTTCTTTTGACTGGACAATTATTATAAAACATGAAAAAAGCAAGCTATGCAGTATATTTGCAGAGGAACTGGATATGCACTTCTGATTTCCATAAAGAAAAACAAGGTTTGGACATGTATTTGAATTAGGCTGACACTCTAAACTAATCTGCTGATCTGGTAACTTAAATCCAAGCAATTCATTTGAGACTGCCAGACCCAGTTAGGGATGTATGGCTCCCTAGATTGTCTTTTTAATTCACTCAAAAAAGTCTAACCAATCTCACAGTACAGTTTGAGGAAATACTTCAGATTCTGCCATAAAGCAAGAAATAAAGCTGAGATTTAAGGCAGGATATTTCATTTCAGATGCTCAATCACTCTGTGCAGAATCCTCTGCAGATTTTTTTCCTGTAATTAAAAGGAGTCCATTCAGATTATCCTATGGGTGTTAGAGCTGTTCTGTAGCTCTCTGGAACACTTTTATGAAATGCATTATTTAGTGCTGTCCCAAATCTGGAAATTCAGAGAAATACAAAATTGTTGAAATCAGAAAATCATTAAATGAAATAATTTTGTTGCAGGCTATTCAAGCATATGTAAGAATTAAATCACAGAAAAGATCTTGTTCTCAGAGTTGCTGTCACAGCAGTTCACATCTATGAATTTCATGTTCATGCTTCTAGATGGCTTTTAACTTGTATGGCTGCATTTTCCTGGAAGCACCACTGTAGGAGCACAGCACACCATCTTAATAAGGCTCTGTTCCCAGCAGTTTCCAGGGAGTTCTGCTAAGGGAGCATGCTAGCTCCAGGGGAGGGCAGGTTAAAGCATCTTTCAAGTTATTTCCTTGCGCCTGGATTTTACTGCAGTATGGAAATAAAATGTGGAAGCTATGAGCTTCTCACTAGGCTCCCATCTAATACCTGAATATTTCACAATTTGTAAATGTTTGCTTGTGGGAAGTCAATTTCCTTCAAGTGCAGCAGTAGTCTAGGGTCATGTCTCTAGGCAGCACTGATTTAGAGCTCCCCAAGAGCTCTGTGCCTGCATACACACTGTTCTTCACCCTGGTTTTCAAGGTAAGACTCAGAAGCATCAGAATCAGTAAGAGGAAAATACTGTCAATGGGAAAAGCATTCTATCAGAAAACAACCAGATAGTCAAATTTAAGATATGTGCATGGTAAAAAAAAAAAAATTCGTTCATCTGAAAGTGAGACAGGCCCTTAAAACTTGTCAGGGCCTTTATTCTTCTACAAAGAGCTAAGAGGAATGCCCTAAATGTTAATGTTCTGCATCTGCAGTAGAGATAGCAGATAAGGGGGAAGATAATCCAGAATGCAAAAACGTTGGCTGAGCTTGTGTACTGCTTTGAGTCACATTCAATAATGTATTTCTTTTCCCTTTAGTTGATTGTTGCTTACAAGACATTATTTCCAATACCAATCAGTTCAAGGATTTTAATAATGCAGCTCTCTTTCCCTGCCCTCAGTTGCTATCCCTTCCATAAAAGTGCCCTTTGAAAGGATATATTTTAATAAGATTGATCTATGAGCAAACACTAATTTCATTTGTGTCCTCCAGTGTTCCTTTCTGGATTTCAGAGATTAGTCAGAGTTATTTTCTTTGCCCTTTTTTGTTTAGTAATAGAATAAAGAGTAGCATGTTCTGATTTTCATCTTTCCATTCTTTCTTGATGAGGCCACAAGAAAGACTTGCACAAGTAGTCAGGCATTGTCACAGAAGCAGGGTTCAGGTCCTTGCTCTGGCAGATTCTGGCAGGTTGATGCAGGATAAATCACTTGGGGATGGATTCACATCTCAGCTTTTGCACTGACTGGGATAGTGTATCAGATGCTGGGGCTTTCTGAGCCACACAGAACTGGGCTAGGCCCCTCAGGGGACAGGGCAGGGCAAGGTGCTTGGGAAAGGCTTTTATAAAGGCTGGCATGCTGAATCAGGAATACAGGACTGATAAAGACACCATAACGTGGGTAAGATCCTTTTTGGCCTTGCAGTAAAAGCTCTCTCTTGGGAAAGAGCTTTTCTTGAGAAAGGAAATTGTTGCATACTTACCTTATCATGTGAAGACTTCATCCGATGCTATCTCCCACTTTCCAACTAGCCACTGCCTGCAGGACCAGGATTCATGTGGCTCTGCATTTTCTCCTTTTGACAAATGGCCATAGCAGCACTTCCCTATCACAGAAAGCTGCTGTCCAGATAAACACATCAAAGATGCAGTGCTGAGTAATACCAGCCTTGAAAGCAATACAGGGAGACAGAGTGTCTCCTGCATTTGGAGAACTGTGACGGTAAAAGTGGCCTCAGAGGAGGCTGGATAACAAGCACTACAGGGGAGAGGGAGAGGGAGAGGGAGAGGGAGAGGGAGAGGGAGAGGAGAGGAGAGAAGAGAAGAGAAGAGAAGAGAAGAGAAGAGAAGAGAAGAGAAGAGAAGAGAAGAGAAGAGAAGAGAAGAGAAGAGAAGAGAAGAGAAGAGAAGAAAAAAAAAGTCTGAACTTCAGCAATCTTCAGTTTCTTTGATGTTCTTTTGTAGGACAAAGCCATATGGGAGGTGACAATTACGGCGTTTCAACATAGAGACCCACTGAAAGATAGTTTTTCACTCCACTGTCTCACCTATATTTTCTTGCTTTCTAAAAACATATTTAGTTTTATTTTCAGGTATAATTGAGGCAATTTCCATGTCTCAATACCATTAGTAGGTTGTCTGTGATTATTCTTCTCTGCCCAATCTTACACCCCGATTGTTGGTTTCTTTGGGTTTGAGTGGATTTTCACTTTTTCGTTTTCTCTCTTTCCTCCCCTTGATTGCCTCTCAACACTTCATGGCCCTAAAATCACCAAATCTCTGCATGTCTGTGTTTGGATATCAGATCACCTTCTACTGTCTGTAGCTTTTTCACTGCCTAGCAGAATGCAGATTTTTCTTTTGCAAAACACACCACAGGAGTGTTTAGGTAGAGAAATCAATATTTCATTAGTCAGACCAGAATACAGCAATGTCTGATCTGAAGGTGTAGGACATCTCAGGATTAAGGTAGTAACAAAAGGCAGTAGTAGCATCACAAAGGAAATGGTCAAGGCAGGGACCTGGGACAGCAGGAGTTGCTTTTGTGGAATGACCAAAGGCTCCTTGCAGCAGGTAACTTAACATATTGCTTCTCATCCATACTGTGTGCCTGTTGTCATCTGAACCACAGGAACAGGCTGGAGCTAGACATAAACTTAAAACCAGCTGTGCTGTCTGTCAGGGCCATCCTTCCTCTTCCTCCCCTTGTACCCCAGCTGAAATTGTCATCCACACAGCTTAAACAGTTCATATAAATGTTAAAGGTGAGAAACTGACTCTCTAGATTCAGTAGGCTCAGGACAGGACTTTTTATTCCTTCCCTCTTTGGTTTTTTTTTGTTTTTTCTTGTTTGAGTACTGGCCAGAGAATTCTTTTTCTTCTGCATTTTTAGGGTCATGTCTGCCACATGGATTTCCATCTATCACCAGCAGGGATAAGGGATGTCCACATATATCAGTTTTATGCTATTGTGGGCTTGGTTCCTTCCCCCTTTCCCAGTGCTGTGAAATGGTAGCCCCTAATAAAGATGGTTGCTGTTAATATATCTGAACATTAATCAGTTTGGGTAGAATCTTAGATAGTCCCTAAGACCTTATTAAATAAACACGTGCTGCTATTTCAACACATAAGTAGCACATGGGCAAATTAAATGCTCACCAGTCCATCAGTAAAAACTAACACAATGCAAAAGGTTTTTACATTTCTGTTTTTGTGCATTTAACAATCCTATTTTGGCTTCAGTTTTCTAGGCAGTGCTGAGAGACATTTTTCATTGCCTGGGTTTTTTTTAAATAAAATTTCACAGTGCTCTGAAAAGGGTTTTCAGTGCATGCTTGAGGAATTTTCTAGTCTGCCTGAGAGAGCCATGTGATACAGCAGAATTTTAAGATCTCAGTAGAGACGATTCCTAGCCCCATATTACTTTCTAGCAGTTACTATGTACATTAATATGTACTTTTCTAAAGTATTGGGGGTTTACAACTTACTGATATTCCGTACATACAAAATATTTAAGTTCATGTTTGTCATTGTGAAGTCTTGATCTATTTAACATTTTCAGTTAGATCCACAGATTTCAGTCCTTTACTGTGATTCAAAGGGATGGACAATGGAATTTGTGGAGTTTTGACATTGATTTCAAGGATATTAGACAAAGTCATGGTCCAGCATGAGGTGGCTAGTTGGAAAGTGGGAGATAGCATAAAATACAAAGAATCCATTCCTTTAGCTTTTGATTTTCCTATAAATGTGTCTTCTCTACTGAAACACACACGTTTCTTTCTTTTATAGCTAGTTTATGGCCTCAGTGCAGCAGGCTCCAGATTGCCATCCAGAGAGACCTGGACCTGCTTGAGAATTGGGACTAGGTGGCATTTAAATGTCCCTTCCAGTCAAAACTAGTCTATGACTCAGAGATTCAACTTGGAAATCTGGGTGATCTTAGGCTGCAAATAAAACATTATCTTTACTGAGCAAGAGTAGTGTGTGCATATGCACAAATGTATGCCTTTATATTGGTATGCATTTCCGTGTGGATGTATGTGGCTGTGTTATACAATTTCCTAGAAGATTGAGGCAATAGTGAAGTTTCTATCTCCTGCCTTGTAAAATAAGTAATCAATGCCAATAGTTACACTAAAAGAGTGCCTTTTATGCCAGAGAGATTGATTTTTAATTCCAAACATATTGGTGGCTGTTATTTACCAAAAAAAATCTTTATTCAGTACTACTGCTTATTTTCTATGCTGTGTTGTGCTGTGTCTCATTGATCAAGCTGCTTCCTTGTTACTTATTCTACAAACTGGTGCAAGTTAAATGTGCAGTTGATATCAGGCATATGTAGGAAAATATGTGCTTTAGCTTTCATTTTAAACCCCTAGACTGAGGATTTCTGTCCTACAAATGAAACCAGTGGTGATATATTTCTTCTGAATCAGTGCATTGGAGATGCAGTGCATTGCAGTCAGCCCCAACAAGAAATCAGGGAGGACTCCAAACCATACAGAACAGTTTCACTGTTTAGTGAGTAATTTGAGATTGTATCATTTTTTCAATGAAACTGGTCCATCACAGGTTTCATTGTGAGCATTGCATACAGAAATCTTCTTGAAATTGTGTGAAAGGCTTTAAAAAATAAGTGCTACGCATGGCTGTAATTACTGGTACGTAATTAACTATTTGGAAATGAGTAGCCATTATTCAAGCAGTGAAATATGGTCTTTGGAGCTTTACTTCAGGCCTCGATCTTCAACACCTCTCTGGCATTTGTTTTTTAGTTTGTTGAAACAATCAAGTCACCAAGAGATTGAGGTAATTTAAAATCAGCTCTGTATACATCTTAAAACATATATGAATCATAATATATATAAAACTTAACCAACTTCAAAACTCCAGTAAGCACTATTTAACACAGTCAATTTTTGAAAACTGTTTATTACAGTAAGTAAATTTTTATGTTGTTGAGCGAAAAATTTAATTATGCATAGGAAATATGCAACATGTTTTTATTATTATTGCCTAATCAACCTCTCTTTCTCTTTCATTTGCAGGAAAATATAAACATCAATGAAGCTTCCAGATGCTTGGTGAAACACATAATTGCTAGTGAGAGTGATCCAGTTCAGTCGGTTGAACCAGATATTATAAAACCACACTTGAATTCCTCCAAGATTGTCAGTTGTTCAGCTTGCTTTAAATCCTAAGAGACTTCCAGACTATTACAAGAGCTGAACAACTATGATTCACAATTTATACTTTATTCAACGAAACCAGCCTGCCCACATTGTCCCTAAGCAGATTGTAATTTTCTCAAAAATATATTTAAATTTTTCTCTTTTTTTTCAGCTAAAATTTATTATGAGGTGTTCATTCCTAGCAACTATTCAAAACTCTCCATGGCTATTGGTCAAATAAGACTCATAGTGATGGCTGTGTTTTCCTATTTGGGTGGCACCAGTGACACCAAAACCCATTTCTTTGTCATGTGGTTTCTGAAAATTCATATTTTTGATGAGACTGCAGCAGCACCCTACTTGTCCATTGATTTCCATGTTTTCTCAGTACCTTGACCAGGCAAATGTCATCATTGCACTCTTTGTCACCCCTCAAACTTGAATGATCTTGTTTCATATGAAGAAGATTATGATGAAAAGGAAAATTGAGCTGTTCAGAAAGAGACACCAAGAATGCTCACAGTTAAATGTTCCCATTGCAAGTTCAGTCTCCTGGAAGTAGTGACAGGACTGAAGATGCAGGAGAATTTCACATCATTCAGTTCTCCAGAAGATCTGAACTTCCAAGGCTGATGAAGAATTGGCTCTCTCTTTCTCAGGAGTTTCATTCTCGCAGTTGATAGCCTTATCTTAGGTGAAGCAAAATACAACGAATCAAGGGTGAAGGGTGACAAAACAGGCAATCATGGGTACAGTCTCCTGGGTGAAGTAGATCAGGGTTTTCAGAAAGGGTTATCAATTCTATAAAGCCAGCATTTCCTCTGGAAAGCTCACACTGATTTTTTCCCTCCCTCTCATCCCTCATGCCACAGATATCCCTGTGTGTTTATACTGTGTGTATTCTTTAAGTCCTAACATGCATCCCTTCATTGTGTTTATTCTCATGGGAAAATTCACTATCCACACTCCAAGATACCAGCAGAACTTTTCAGGAATACATCTGTGTTGAGCAGAAGGGTATTTGCTTTCTGAAAACATTCTTCTAAAATGTATATGAATCATCACAGGAAGCAAGCAAAATGCAACAGTCTTAAGAGACACTTCTGGAAGATGTGAAGAATTTATTGAGCAGTACTGTGGAAATAAAATTGTTGATTTTCAGCATCTCACAAAAGGTGCTGGTTGGTGGAGTCATTCAGAGAAGCGTGTCCAGACAAGAAGTCTTGACATCTGGCTGCAAGCCCCTTCAAGACAAACTTTGCCTCTATCCTGCCATAGACAAATCACTTGCAAATTCTGTTCTTACTCAGACTTTTCCTTCCTGAGCTGTGAACTCTCAGTTGCAGGAGCTGTCTTCAGACCTGAGTCCCTCATTTTAGAGAGGTGTAACAGCATAGAAGGGAGGAGACAAAATCTGCCTTATATTTGCAGATGCCACTTCAATACTTCACTAAACACTTAGTTGAAAATGAAGGAGTGAAATTCTCAGTCTAGTGAATACCTGCTGCATAGGAAAAATGAAAAAAAGAGGAAAAAGAAAAAATTCCTCAAGCTGACCTTATACTGTGTGACCTATGAGTTTCATGTGCCTGTAAAATTCATCCTGCTTGGCAATATAAGGTGTATGTTTGGACTCCAAGTTCTTTTCCAATCTAAATGATGCTATGACTTTGTACCTCTCACTAAATTCTCTGTTACTATATAGGCACTGCAGACAAGAGCTATTTTACTCTCTCTGGAGAGCCAGGGACAGAGACATAGCTCTTTATGTGCTCTTCCTAAAGCCTTCCATTCTTCTCGCAGAATTTTGGATTAAGAAAACAAAGTCTCTAGTTTTAAAAATAAAAATTCACATCCAGAATTAATCTGCACAGACATAGATGTATGGATGCATATATATATATATAGAGCTGGCTTTTTTGAGAGTAATTTTCAAGTTGTCATGGGTGCTGTGTCATCCTTTAGTACCTGTGTTAAACATTCTTTAACTCCTGCTGTGATCTGTGTCAAACACCTTAAGCTTCCTGCCTCAGTTTCCTCAATTGTAAAACAGGGATCTATGTACACACCTACCTCACAGCACTGCCTGAAAGTTACTTTTGGCACCATGCTTAGGGGATACACAAATGCCAAGGTCTGACACTGCTCAGAACGAAATATGATTGCCCTCTAGCATAAATACATGGTGCTGTAAAGCCTTAGTGTTCTAAATCTACCAAAGGCTTGCCTGTACTACAAAAATTAACTTCAATTATTCCACCTCAGTTAAGCTGGTCAAGGTTGTAAAGCAACGTGTGACTGCATGGGCTGATCAGATTGGCTGCAGATGGTCTGCAAACGGAAGCTGTGGCTGCACAGATGTCATGGCACTAGTTTAATAATCTCAGCAACAAAGCTGCAATTCAGAACTAGCGCCACATCAGGTATTTCAAATTTAAAGCATCATTTAAGTCAAGTCATATGGGCGCCTTATTAAGGATGACAATTCATATCCTGAGCCAACACTGTGATTAATGAAAGGAACTAGATATCTCAGATAGCTTCTAAAGGGCTAATTTTTCATGAGTTCAGCCCCATACTTCACTTATGGATCTCAGGTGAAGCAGAGGAAATTGCCATTTCATCCAAAAATATTTTTATGTCCAACTCACAACAAACCTAGCAGTTCCTAATGTGTTTTGCTTATCTTCATGTCACCTTTATTTGGTGGCTTCTAGCAATACACACTAAACATAATGGGAGATTCCTCAAGACTTTGGGAACTATGCCTAAAGACCTGGTATAACAGTAATTAAAATAACCCTGCATATACATAACACTTAAATGACATATAGAGATATTTTTGTTCCTCACTCTGTGGTATAAACCAGCTTTAAATTATGGGCTCAGTATCTGTTCCATAATGTTTCTGTGGTGTCAGGTTCCACTGCAGTCACTTCTTGGGCAGATTTTCCACCTCTGGTAGATGGAGGACAGAGTGTGGCCAATTCCTAGACTAAGGACTATACAAGATGTAAAGTTCTAAAGTCATACATATTTACACCATGAGAATTAGAAGAGTATCACAAAGAATCAGGCCTCCTTAGGAGGTTGCATAATTACATATGTTCATTTTTATTTGTACTAAAGTGACAAAAATCTGTCAAGTCTTTTTCTGTAACACAATAAATGTGTGAATGCAACCTGAATATCTAGCAAACAGAGCCTTTTTAGAGGAGGTTGTTGTTGTAGGCAGGCCAGAATAAAAGCTTTAATTTAGAATTAATGAGCTCACTTTGTGCCAATACCCTTTCAGGAAATGTAAAGTTTAATTATACTGTGTCAGTCCCTAACAGCTTGGATTTCCTTAGGTTTTTTGATGCACTCTGTGCTATGTCCTTTTTGCGGGTCACCAGGGACCAGGTATTGTAATCACACGCCCATTTCAAAATTAAAAATTTTCCCTTTCTGTTTGCAATAAGTAATGAACCATGAGTCTCTATTGCCTTGCAAAGGGGCAAAGGTACTGCAAAGTGGAATTAAAATTCATTTTCATTCTAATTCTCCAAATACATCCCTGTGGATGTCCCAGCACCTCAAACCACATGTTGATGAGCAACGGAGGGGCTGGACATGAGAGATCACCCCAAAACACTCAAAGAAAACAGTGGTTGAACATCTTCACCCCCAGACATAATTTTCAGCACCAGTAATGACAGAATGTCTTTCATTTTCTGTATTGAAGCTCCATACAAAAAAAAAAACCTCATGACCCTAAATTCTTTGGGCAGCATAGACATATTGCTGATAGGAAAATAGATGGAGTGAAAGATAATTATTCAGTTATTCCAGAAAGATCATAATTTATTTGACCAGGTTCAGCTTTCAATAGAAAGACATTTGGGAATCTGAAAATCAGGCTTTGTTATTCTTACACACTTTTTATATTAGGGAATGTATTTTCAATAATTTTTCTTTTCAGGAATAGCTGTTCCAACAGTACTTTATGCATTCATCTTGAATTGTTGTACATCAATATTTTATCTTCAGATTTTTTTTCTGCTTTAACCTACCTGACTCCATAAAATGGAGAAGGAGGGAGAGAGGGAAGGAGATTGTGCACCTTTAAACAGCAGTGTTGTTTTACTTCTTGAAACACCTTTCTAGCTGGATAAAGTGAAACTGATAAACAGATGTGAGAAATTAATTTAGTGCCAATTGCCAGGAAAGAGTCAATCAAAATATCTTTCACTGCACCAATATTTATGCATGTGACCACACGTTCTATTGTAATAAAAGATGGTATTTCTGACAAGACAATGAATATGAGTAATTTGTAAAATTAATTCATTAGCAAAGTAGGCACATACAAGTAGCCATAAGCTAATTCAGCTTTCCTCATATGTAGCGAATTTATGACATATATAAAAGTCCATTTTAATAATTTAATTTAAACTTACTTTCTGTACAACTTCTCTTTTAAACCATCCAGGTTAATGTTTGACTTTGGTTAAAGAGTTACATATCTGAGACAGAAACCTTCTACCTTTTCTCCCTATTTTATATCCAATTCCAGATGCAACTTTTATGGTTCCAGCTCTTCAAAGAACCTCAGTTCAAAGTTTGATTTTATAGGCAGAATTTTTGGCTCACAAATAGATGCACCATCAGTTTGGAGGCTCATTAGCAACCACAGGCTTAGTTCTTGGAAGTCTGACTGGGTAAAAAATGGCCTAAATATGTAAAATGGGCACCTCCATGTCTAGGATATGGTAAGTTCATTTTTCTTCAGCTCTCAGGACAAGATGGTACCTCCAGCAGTGTTACATACTTGACTTTTCATTATTCCCTAGAAATATTAGGCTGTCTTATTAATTAAAAAAAAAAAAAGCAAAAAGAGAGGAGATTGCATGCAGTGTCAGTCTAGTATTTATTTTACAGTTTTCCGCTACAAAAGTAAAAATATTTGCATTCTGGATTCATTTACTTTTTAAATGATGCACCCTGACACTCTCACAGCCCATGGCTGAGGGTACTACAAGACCCTCAAC